TTGCTATGAAATATAAGGACAATATTTTCTCCTCCTTGGTTTACTGATCTGTATAATGGGTATATATCTAAGAGTTTCTTGTGAGATCAAATAAATAAATACTTCTGAATATTTGGAACTTTGCCTAGGATATAATAACTGCTTCATAACATTCCTGGCAATCATGTTCGATATGTTTGCAGCCTAGATTATGAAGTGTAATTTTACTTTAAATCATGAAGCTTAAATGCAGGTATATACGATGTCATCACCCGGGAGATAGATCCCTGAAAACTCTGTCCTAGTTTTGTAACTTCATATGAGTCTCTACTTATTTTAAAATTTTAAAACTTGCTGTGTTCTGTTTCATTTTGTTTTATTTTGCTTTGTTTTGTTCTGTTGCATACAAACCTTCCCAGATCACACAGTCACCAGCCAGCATGTGCTAAGTACCTAACGCATACCAGGCCCTGCTCACAGCCCTCAGCTCCCTTCTACATGACACTAATATACTCACTTCCGGGTGTCACAAAAGTAATTTAACCAAGTGCCTATGATTTTGCTCTTGCTATTTCCTCTTTAGTAGTGACATGACAGAAAAAACATTGCACACCCCCCGAAATGGAACTGTGAGGATCTTGGCTTCAAACCCAAAGATGAAAGCTGCTCCTTAGTAGACTGCACCACTTTTGTTATGTAGTCTGAACCTAGCCAGATGCCTGCTCCATTTCTGAGTTGACTCCTTTGAGCAGAATTACACAAAATAGACAAAGTCTAGCCTGTTTCCCAGCAGAGGCACGCTTGAACTTTGAGCTTAATAACTTATATTAAGGAGAGAGTTGACACCTGTCTTTTCTTTGTGGAGCCAGAAGCCAGGCTGCGTGTCTTCGTAACAACAGCGAAGACTTCATTTCAGCTCCCCTTTGCCTCCCACCACAGCTTAGGCGGGGCACCCTAGTGAATAAAGAATCTACACAAACCCGCATTGAAGACGTGCTGAGGGTGCTCCGCAGCCCTGACCACATCCACTGATTGTCTGCAGTCAGTCACAACTTTACAGCTACAAGTCAATTTCCTGTATTCTACCCACTGTATAAACAACTTCGTCTACCTCCATCTGCTGACAGCAGGCATTTACTCTTTCCAAAATGGTGACTCCATTTCCTGTCCAATAGCTCCTAGATGCAATGAGTCCAAGGTTCCCTAGTGGCACTTAAATTGTTGCTGTCTCCTGGGGTGAATGGATCTCCTTTGGGACCAGAAATTCTAATCTTTTGAGCATAGAAATAAACATAAGGAAAAACAGAGCTCTCAGTACAATACAGGTAGTGACGTTAACCAATGTCCTTCCTTCCTTTCCCCTCAGTCCCCAGATATATACGTACTTTATGTTAGGAACACAGCAACATAAATGAGGCTCTATTTGCATATCCAGTATTCTTATGAGTAATACCCACCTTTTCAGGGCAGGATCTGCAGGCTGGCCTTTCATCTGTTGGTTCAGTGCTCTGCAAAGATAGCTGCTTCCAGGAAGTATAGATCATGTGCTCAATCCACACCCCCTTCACTATGGAGTAGGCACTCTATTGTCAGATACTACATTGTATGGACTTCCATTCTAGTTGGGAAATGTGAAAACCCCAGAGAGTAATAAGCGGTGTTGACTGTAGACCAGTGGATAGGAAAGGCAAGTGCATATCCCAAATAGGTAAAGCACCAGGATCATGACTAGCCTTTGCAGGACAGAGGGGTTCAAAGCCAACTTGACACAAAGAAACAAGTTGGTCTTTTCAGGACATAGTCCCTTTTGAGGGGCTCAGTGTTTTTTGGGAGCCACTGAAGCTGGAAATTGACCACATATGTAAGGCTAGGGCATGATCATCCCAAGAACAAAGAATGCCCAGGGAAAGCCACATGAAAAAGCTGCTTCAGCCCAGAGAACACCTAGCCCCAAGACAATCTGAGCAGCGGGTTACTAGCACAACAATATTCAGGTGACATTAAGTGGCTAAAAGGTATAAATAAATGCCCCTGTGGTGAGTGGCCAGTTCCTTTCCTCTCATCAGGAGAGTAAGGGCTCCACCTGACCCCAGCTTTGTTTCCTTTATTTTCTCATCCTTTCACTGTCTTTCCCCCTGGGAACATCTAGAGCTGTAGCCAGCCACTACAAGTATTAGGCTCCATTGATGGCAAGCTAGACACCTAAAGACAGCAGTAGCTGCATGAGAAGTGGCAGTCCACCTTACTGCCACTGTGCCATTCCATATGCTAAGTCAGTAACGAGGTGACCAATGAGAAAACTTGATAATGTCAACTGTACATCATTTGTCATTTTTTTTCTCCATGCAAAGTACCAAACAAATGCATTGCTTGCGGATCCATGCTTTGGAAAAATCTTCCTTAGCTGTCTTCCAAGGCTACCCTGCATGCAGCTGTAATGTACTAACTTTGTTCTACAGCTATATAGTGAACTAAACCATGTGTCAGCCATGATTGGGTTGCACCTACCACTGAACCATAAATGTGAGTGAAGCAGACCCACTGTTCAACCTTGGTAGGTGATGTGGGGACATCTGGTCTACTTGCTTATGCTGCTTACTCTTGTGTGGGCATGATCCATGCTACTTCCATATCTCAGGGACTAGCTGTTGGCCCTGTCTGACCTGGTGATTTCCTGAGCATGACAAAATTTAGCTCATAATATAGTCCACACCCAGCGTTTCCATTATCAAGCATTCCTTCAATGCCAAGGCTCAGAAACAGTGTGGGACGTGTTTTCTCAAAAGGCCTAGAGTTCTCCACTGCAGTTGACCTAGGACTGCTCCAGAGCTCCAGGCTGCATTCTGATTTTCCCTTTGGGTGTTCCTCTACTCCAAATCATTTCCTCTCCCACTGGCATTGCCCACACGGTACAGTCTGCTGAATTATATGCCCCAACTAGTAGAATTATTTACACTTCAGTCCATATATGCTGTGGAGCCCTTTCCTGCTGCAGGCCCCCTCAGGGCTGGCTGTGAGACTTCTACATCATTTGGCATGGTCCATGGCCATATAATTGGATGTGGGATGCAGTGACTCCAGAACCCAAGGATACCTAACAAGCTCTGCCTCTCTTCATTCAGATAAGAAATGTAGGATATAGCAATTTGTATTGTACTTGGAGATGGGAAGGTGGGTACTTTCTAGCAGTTCCTCACTGCTGAGTCATGAAAATTTCACTGATGTGGCATGTTCCGAATCTTCAGAGTCTGTCTTCCACCTTTCATAGTGTGTTTGTCTTACCAAGGCATGTAATATACTGAACATCTCTTTCTTGGCCTTTCACCAATATAAATGAATTAAGATGATATTCCGCAGTGTTTTTAGGCCTTTGCAGACTATATTACAACAGATGTTAAAAGAGTTAACATACCTAAGACCACAATCATCTGCTCTAACCAAGGCACCATGCCTGCACTGCAACTACAATCAAGACGACTACTAGTTCAAGTTTGTCTCTGTCTACACTCATTCTCCAAGATCTATCGTGTCAGTAGAGACCAGACTGGTGAATTGAGCACTTTCCTTTAGGCCTCCAAGGCTGGCATGGAGATAACAACATGTGGTGACTCCAACTGTCAAGTACATTTATTCCAAATAAATCCTCCTGGGCTCGGACAAAGACTAACAAGAAGGGAATCATGCCACCGTGACCAGGATTTCATTCATTACCTGGCCTCAAAGATTCTACTCTAAAAGTGAGCTGAATGATAGGTCTCTGGGTTTCATGTCAAATCTGACACTTTGCCTAATAGTCCACAAAATGTTTGTGTGATTCTCTTTTTTCTAGTATATAGTCACCCAAATATTCATGAGTCCTTTGGGAAGGCCTGGGGGAATCATGATATCACACACTTGTCTCTGTGACCACCTGTCCTTTCCTTGTCTACAGATGGAAACCTGGCTGAGGCTTTGGGTGATACCAGTGCACCTCTACCAGTACATTTCTGGTAGTCTTAAGTGCTCTGTCTTCTGACATGCTCATGGAAAATAATTATCTGGTGGGTTTTCTAGCTTCACGGAGAATACACACCATAGCTGGTCAATTCCTGCAGCAATTTCATTCTTTTCTCCACTAACAGGGCAGCCTTGAAATTTCTATTTTACTTAGAATGAATCATCACTTTCTCCAGGACTCAAAGAGCTACCTTAGCATTGAGCTTGACCTGCCTATGGGGCCCCCTGTCCTAAAAAAGTGACCACAATTCATTGGCAACTTGATTATCCATCCATCCATCAGTCAGCAGAAAGTCTCTAAAGTACATTTAGAGAAAGACTCTGAGTCCCATTACCAATTGGTGATGTCTGACATGGAGGGGTGAGAAAAAGTTTTTAGAGATATATCATATTTTGCTATTTCTATTCTAGAGATTTGTGCAGGTTATATAGAGTCTACAACTATAGAACTGAATCTAAACTGCCCCAGATCAAAATAGCTGACCTTAGTTTCAGTTTCACTGTACACTAGTCCAACCAACAAATTTAATTAAATGAATAGAGTGTGAGCTTCACTTTTTGCAAGGACAGATATGAAAGTAGAAAGGGGAAGAAAACACTGGAGTCTGAGGTAGGGAGACAAGAGGCTTAAATTGTAGAGTGAAAGATACTGGAAGGGGAATTTTGAAGAGTTTTCCAAAGGTAAAAGGTAAATTTGGGTTTTTCAACATTGCTGTCTTCTGGATCTCACAAAGCGCTTGCTTTGGGACAGGTCTACACCCCAAAAACTCTTCTGTGACTTAAAAGATCAATTCAGTGGTTAGTTTGCTTCCCACTCGGTCCACTGTTGGAATCCTCCAGTGTGGCTACATCTGAGCGGGCAACAAGCTCCAGCAATAAAAGCCAAGGGCCTCCTACCGTATCTTGCTTTCCTCACTGGCCAGGTGTCCAAACCAAGAGAAGTAACATCTCCCTGAACTTCACCTCTGATGCAGCACAGCCATAAACGAGACACTGTTACTAAGAGCTGTGTGTGTTTTTGCTAGACTCTTTCACAGGTCTGGTCAACATCTTGACAGACATTATCTGGAGGTTCACTGGAGACTTCCTGGCGCCTGACCTGGTCTGCCGAGTGGTTCGCTATTTGCAGGTAGGTAGCACCTGCCAAACACGATGAGACAAACTGACACCAAAGAAAATAATCTAAAACCCAGCTCTCCTAGGCGACAAATTACCACTTCTTCCTACGTGAAACAACAAGCAACATTTATCAGATTTTTTTACTATAATTTTGTAGTTTAATGTAATTTTGTAATTGAATGTCATGTAATTTTGCTAAAAATACTACATGTATCGTAAAATACAAATAAGAAATTATAGAAATAAAAAGCACTTATATTTCAATCATCAAGTAGAATTTCTGTCCATATTAAAATAATTGCCAGAAAATTTGTCAATTATCTTAAAATTGTCTGTTATATTTACTATTTACCTCTCAAGCCAACCTAATGCTGTTATTCAAATAACAACAGAAAATAACTTTAACAATTTCCTATAAATACATATTGACTATTTAATTGCCATTTAAACTATACTTTTTTTTCAAATATCTGTTGATTTTTTTCTTCTTTAAACCTACCATTACATCTTTTCAGTTAATTTATAACTGGAATACTTATTATTCTCTACATTTTTCCAATATCTATTTTTTAAATATATCTATATTTTGCCTAGCAGTAGGCTTCAACATAGATCGTGTATCGTGCATATATAAAAATATGTATAATTAATTTAAAATATTACATATTCATTGTATATTAGTATCCTTGATGCATCATCCATCTATAAAGCACAAATAAGACAACTCAACTATACAGGAAAAGAATGGACCACTTAATAACTGGTACCAGGGTTGATGTGTTGTTTCTAAGACCTTAAGACTATATTTCCATTAATGTACTTCTATGCTGATATCATACTTCACATCTAAATTACTGCAGCTGTGAAAATACATAATGCATCTATTCTCGATTCCCTGCTAGAAAACCCTCCTAGATTCCACTTTTTAGAAACATTGTTAATGATCTGTATTCATAAGCTAAGCTATGATTTTTATCTGTAATGTCATTTTCAGATCTTGGTAGCAAAGTTATTCTATTATGCAAGTAATGGATATAAAACAGTTATAATTTTGATCTTTTTGCTTTAAATATAACCTTTAAAATATGACACTTCTTTGGGGTAATTTTTTAAAACCTATTTTGATTTCTTCTTGAGGATTGATACTTCCTTGCTGAGAAATGCTTTCAGTTGCTCTTTATTAGTAATTCATTGCTTAGTGTCTTGGTTACTTTTCTCTTGATGCTAGGACAAAATTTCCAACACCCAAAATTAAAGAAGGAAAGGTTTATTTAGCTTACAGTTTTTGGAAGTTTCAGTCCATAATCAGCTGGCTGCAAGGCAGGGTGGCATGGCACAAGGGCAGCACTTCAAGGCAGCAGCCAGAGCAAAAGGGGAGAACAAGCCTCTTCCCCTCCCTTATATGGTACACCGGCCACCCCCACCCCCACTTCAGAGTGGGTGCAGGACTCACAAAATCTCTCTGCCCTCCCCTGCACATGAGGGCATCCACAAAGCAAGAACCCGAGGTCCTTACTGAGTCTCTCAGCTAAACTTCTAAACTGCTCAAGTTGACACATGTATCAACCATAACACTTAGATACAAATTATGACAAAAGGTAGTAGTTTAAAACAAACATGGTGGGCAGACAGATAAAGCCTTGGCATAGGTGCAAACATGTTTCTTGGTGCCACAGTCTTCGGAAGGCTTCACTGGAGCTAGAGAATTCATTTTCAGGAGGGATCACTCACGTAGCTACCATGGCACCTGATGTGGACGGGACACTCATGCCCTCTCCACAGGGACCTCTCCAGTGTTCCTGTGTCCTTACCGCATCTCAGCTGGTTGTTCCAAGATAAATCTATCCATCTGACAGAGGTAGACGTGGGAATGTATTTTATGAGGCAGCCTCAGAGCTCACACCCTCATCTCCATATTGTTTTTGGTTGCAGAAGACAGTGCTGATTCAGTACTAGAGAGGAAAACCACAAGAGAAACTAATATTAGGAGGTAAGGATTATTGAGAGCGTGTTAAAGATTGAGAGCATGTTAAATCCCACGTATCTCTCCATTGTTCAAAGCATATTATCACTTATTTGGGCTCCAATGGTCAACTTTAAAATGACTTTTTGACCCAACAATACTCATAGCAGTAGCATTCCTAACTATATTTGCAATGAATGTTAAGATAATATTCATGTAAAATATATCTTGGTGACACAGCAGAACATGTCAGGGGAAAAAAACTAATAATTTCTCCATAAAAGCGGTAATAAAACTTGCAAAAATTGTCAGAATCAAAATTTTAGGACTCTAGAAGTTAAACAAATGTGTGCAGCTATTGAGAGAGCGTTTCTTCAAGAGCTGGCTGAGTCTGAGGAGGAAGAATGGGCTTAAGCCATTTTAGCTGGTATTATTCTCGTCCTCCAGCACCCAGCTTTATGGCAGCCTTGAAAATTAACAGCTCTCATTCTTGCTAAAAACAAGTAGTCTGGCAACCACTAGACAAAACAGACTAGGGCGTGAGTGCTTTCAAAGCCGCGTTCTTGGGACTCTGCCGTGGTGCCACGTGGCTGGCGTTTCCTTGGAACATCCTAGTCACAAGGCTGAGTGTTTGACTGTATTCAGGACTTTCCCACTGTGGTAATTTTTTCCTCTGAGCATTTGTCAGAAATAATTACAGGCAATTGACTAACTTCACAGACGCCTGAGTTACTGGGCAACTGTTGGCAAAGACAACAGACTAACTAAATCTTAAGATACAAGCTGGGTGATAGGTGTGCACTTTAAAAATCTGTCTGCTCCCTGAGACTCTTACAGACCTAGTATATGCCCGGGAATCTGTCCAGGAGAATAGGGAAGGCTCTGAACTGTAACCCTTGGCCAAATTTGAGGAATTTAACAAATCCTCTCATGATTAAAAAAATTGGTAAATTGGGTACAGAAGGAAAGTATCTCAACACAGTAAAAGCCACATCTGCCAAGGTCACAGCTAACATCATACTCATCAGAGATATTTCTTTAAAATCAAAAACAAACAAATTGTGATTTACCCCCCTTCTATTCCATAGAACACCTGAAGTTCTAGAAAAAGCAAGCAACCAGGAGGAAGAATTAAAAGACTTCCTAATCATAAATGAAGACACAGGTCACAGATGACATGATATTGTATACAAAGAACTCCCTAAAGACCCTATCAAAAAGACCTGTTAGAATTAGTAAATTCAGTAAATTTGCAGGATACAAAATCAAAATACAAATATCTGTAGCATTTCTATATGCTAATAACTCACTACCCTACACAGAAATCAAGAAAACAACTCTATAATGGTTATAAAAATATCACATAATAAAAGACAGGAAAAAAAACAAAGCAACTTGGTTAAGTATCAGATACAGTATCTCTCTGCATACTGAAAAGTATAAAACATTGTTTAAAGAACAGACAAATAAGTGGGAAAATATCCAGTTCCTGGATTAAAATTAATATTATTAAAATATAATATGACCCAAAGTGATGTGCAGATTCAATCCCCCTAAAATCCAATGATATTTTTAGTAAAAACAAAATAAATCCTAAAATACATATAGAATCACAGAAGACCCTCAAATAGTAAATCAGTAATAAGTAAAGAGAGAAACTAGAGACATCACATTGTTTGGTTTCAAAATATACTGCAAAGCTTTAATAACTGTTTTAGTGAGGGTTCACTGGAAGAACTGAATCAATAGAAAACACAAACTTAATTATACAAGGAGATTTATTAAGTAGCCTTAAAGATCAGAGGTAGAAGAGCTCACAGTGGCCTTTTGCACAGTGGAGATCTGGAGAATCCAATGGCTGCCCACCCCTCCCGGGGTGAGCAGAACAGGAGGGGTAAAGGATGCAGCAATCCAAGACCAAAGGCCGGGAAGCTCTATGGATGGTTGCCCATGTAAATCTGTGTTGGAAGGCTAAAGAACCTGGAAACCTGGAGACGGATATCCAAAGGGGCAGCAACAAAGGAGATACCCATTCTGGAGAGTGAAGTTCTCCCACAGGAGCACACTTTCTTCTCCTGCTCCTCTTTACTCTATTCAGGTTAAAAAGTCTATTGGTTGGTTCCAGCTATAAACAGGGTAGGTTTCCCACTTCGGTTTGTGGCCTACAGGTCAATTATCCACAGACACACCTAGAACAGAGATTCACTATTCTTCTAGGCATTTCTTAATCCACTCAAGGTGACAAATGACTAACAGCAAGGTGTTTGCATATAAAACAGGCACATTGACCAAAGGAATGGAAGAAAGAGTCCCTAAATAAAGATATATATTTTTAGCCTAGAATTCTTCAAACAAAAATTCGAAGGACATGCAACAGTTAAAAGATACATCAAAAAAAAAATTATCCTCTTTGATGAATGGCACTGGGAAAACTGGACAACAGCGTGCAGAAGAGTGAAATTAGATCCTTTCTCACACCACATACAAAATTCAGCTCAAAATGAACTAACATCTTAAATGTAAGGTCTAAAATCTTAAAACTGGAAGAAGAAAATATAAGGGAAAATCCTCATGACATTTGTCCGGGCAAGAAATTTTTTGAATATGAACTTAAAAACATAGGTAACACAAGCAAAAACAGGTGAATAGGATTATATTAGCCTGATTAAAAAAAAAATTCTTCTGCATAGCAAAAGAAAGAATTCCATGAAATGGTGAATATGTGTTTGCAAACCACATATCTGATAAAAGTATCATTACCAAAGCATTAAGAAACTCACCTGGGTCAGGGATATAGTTCAGCAGCACAGTGCCTGTCTGGCAAGCATGTGGTCATGAATTGAATTCACAGTAGAAAGAAAGAAAGAAAGAAAGAAAGAAAGAAAGAAAGAAAGAAAGAAAGAAAGAAAGAAAGAAAGAAAAGAAAAGAAAAGAAAAGAAAAGAAAAGAAAAGAAAAGAAAAGAAAAGAAAAGAAAAGAAAGAGGAAAAAAGGAAACTCACCCAACTCCACAATGAATGCAATAGTTTTGATATGGCAAAGGCATAA